CCTCTAACGGGGCAAACTGGCCTGTGGCTGGTTAGAATAAATAAAGCCACCGTAAAGGTCACGAATGGAGAGGCAGGGTGACGAAACTTTGCCTTCCTGGTACTCAAGACATCTCTTCTGTAAGTGTGACTGGAGTGACCACTGAAAGCTCCTGTCAGTGGTCCCAGATGGCATAGTAAGCTGGGTGTGTGGGTGGAGGGGGCAGGCCTGCTAAGTGTCATCTCCATGGAGTGTTTCTCATCATCACCATGGCTTCCCCATCATCGGAGAACATTTGTCAGGTTTGGAGCAATTAACATTATGAACAGTTGAGTCTGATAGGCAAGACGAGCGAGTGTGACAGCCTTCACATTTCTAATGGTTTCATGGAAATGCCCATTTTATGGAACAATCTCCCAGCAGGACTGAATTTAGTATGGTAATATTAATCGCTGGAACGGAATAATGAGTGTGGTGTGTTCACAGCAATTCATTGCACAATATTTCCCGATTTAATCTCAAGAGCCCAAACCCAGCAAGTCAGCTCTGGATAATCATAAATAAAACACCCAGGAATGTGTTTTGTTTGTAATTAAGTGGATACAAAACTATTGTTCTTTTGTCCCTCACACCACACATTATCATGAGAGGGGGAAAAAGGCAGAAAAATACGAAACAAGTCTCATTTAAGAATTTAGCATGTCCAAGCTCTGGCTATGGGAGACGTGAGCATAAGGCAGGCTTCCTGTAAGGAAGCCAGAGGGGAAGCAGAAGCTAGAGGTGACATCCCAGCTTTGAGATGCGATAATCACTGTCACAGACGAATGGGAACAGAAAACACTGGAACGTCTGCCTTAGGGGATCTCTGCAAAGGCATTCAGGGATGCTTTTCGTGACACTTGATTTGAGTCTCGCTGGGCAGAAGCCCCTGGTATTCTTTGTATACAATTCTAACGATGACTTAGATAACATTAATATTTCTCCTACCTAGAGAGCAAGCCATGCCTTTGGCTTAAGTAGATATCGAGTATGATAAATTGTCAGAGAATGGATGCCTTTGAGTCCGAATAGGAGGAAAGCCCTACCTGGGGACATCCAAAGGAACAAACACCGTGCCAGCACCTGGGAGTAGCCATGGCAAGAATAATGCAAACTGCAGAGTAGACTAAGCTCCATCTCCCTCCTGTTTTACTTTGATGAGGGAAAGGAATCAATTCTCAAAGTAGTGAGGGCTCTAGAAAAATTGGTACCTAGAATTTGCTGCAGCGTGGGTGGGATAGAGCCACTTAGGGACTGCAAAGCAGGTCTGTGCACAGAGACAGCACAAGCTAGTCTAATCAATCAAGCCTTGCGCGTGTTATTCATTAAGGGGCATTCTCCTTTGCTGGTCAAGAAGTTCCTACACGTACCGTAGATTATGACAGGAGTCATTTGGCTTTTGTCACCACCACACCACAGTGTTTTCCAGACTGTTTGAGATGGAGATGCTTAACCTGTTTTGTATTCAGTCTAGCTTAAGGGGTGGGGGAAATGACCGTGAACTTTGGGTCCTCCTCCAAGAGATCATTGCATCCCAGTTGGAAAGGAAGCAAGTTCCCATTAACAGTATTGAGAGTCAGCTTCCTTTGATCGATGTGCCTGGCTGTATAGGTCATTTGCTTTTGATACTTCCAAATCATCATTGAAATCTGCTCAAGCTGTCCAAGGACCTAGGGGACCAGGCCTCCAAGGACAAATGCTCTGTCCAGTACAGAGTCTGGCAGTTTGCTAAATGATGTCCCTAGAAATCCCAACAAAAGCCCAATGAGCTGACTTCCCTGACATCAAAGCTAACCCCTTGTAAACACACAAGAAGGTCACATGAGTCACCTGGCTATAATGGTGGCCCGAAGGCAGGAAGTGAGAGCCAGTGCACTCATCTTCAGGCATTAGATACTGGTTTGGGAAGCAGTAGGTCCTTCTCAGTGTGCTCCATGGAGGGGTCTTGATGGGGGAAGTCCTGTGACTATGTCAATAAAGCACTGTTGGCCTATAGAGAACCAAGATAGGTGGGACTAGGAGTCCAGGAGGACTCTGGGAAAGAGAAACACAGAGAGTCAAGATGTAACGCCATGGGGTAGGAAGCCCGGAAACCTCTCCGGTAAGAGAAATACTTAGACGGGTTAAATACTTAAGTCAGAGTTAGCCAGTAAGAAACAAGCAAGGCCAACAGCTTCATAACTAATATAGCCTCCTGTGTGTTTATTTGGGACTGATGTGGCTCTAGAACCAGGCTGGCAGGAAGGCTTCTCTCAAGGAAAAGGCTTCTCTTTACAGGGTCTACTCTTCTATAGTTTTAACTCTCATGAGGACCAGGAAGCAAGGAAACCTGCATCTCTGACATGAGGCTGCACTCTCACAGTCTCTAAGGCAGTTCTCTTGGGGGCCTCCTCAATAAGTCACAGTTTATTAGATCTTCTATTTTTGATTGAGAATCACAGATGACAGGGAGCTCACTACCTACCAAGACAGCCAATCTGGTGTTGGACATCTTCAGCTGGGGCTAGATACTAATGTCTTAGTACCCCGTTTTATCACATAAACAATCAGGCAGCTGTGAACCCATACAATGGTTAGCAAAAGTCGTTGCTGAGCTGGATTTGGTCTGTGAAATATTGTTTCACCACCACTGGTCTAGTATCAAAGCGCTCTTCCTGACCTGAAGAAATGTGGCCATGTCTTTGGTGGCCTGGATTGACCTGTAGGGGTCATGTGGATCCTGCAGAACAGTCCCTGGGAATTGGTGACACCTCTTTCCGAGTGTCTTGCACTCATGTGACATCACCATTTGATCCGTCATATCCACTACTTTAAACATTTTTGTATGCATGTGGTAAAACGGTTTGGAATTCTCTCCTGGCACACATGCTCAGCAGGCTGAGAAAGGAGGGTTGGGAGTCTTAGGCCAGCCTGGGATACATAGAAAAACCCGGTCAGAAGAAAGAAAGGAAGGAAGGAAGGAAGGAAGGAAGGAAGGAAGGAAGGAAGGAAGGAAGGAAAGAAGGAAGAAAGAGGGGGAGGGAGGGGTATGGAAGGGAGGGAGGCAGGCAAGCTGGCCCATATTCTCTTCCACACATTTTGAAATACCCATTGTGTTATTGTTACTTGTAGCTACTCAACTGTGGAACAGAACCCTGGCCTCTATTCCTCCTGTCTGTACTTTGAAGCTGGGAGCTTTCCAAATTCTGTCCTCTCCTGCCTATCCTGTCTGCTGTGTCCCGCTGTATTCTCTACTCCTGTGAGATCAGTGTCTCTAGATTCCTCACAGTATTTGACTAGCTATGTGTGATGGTGGATTGAATCTGGAGTCAACTAAAAGGTAGCCTTTTGGGTACGCCCGTGAGCAATTCTCTTGATCGGATTATTTGAAGTGGGAAGACCTATTCTTAATGTTAGTGGCCCCTTCTGTTTTTGTTGTGGTGGTTTTTTGTTTTGTTTTTGCTTTTTGCTTTTCACCTGCTTGCCTTCGCTCTTGTATGCAAGTTCATTTGCTTTGTTGGTGGCTCTGCTACATCCTTCACTGATACTAGGACCCAACCACGGCTTCCAGTATGGACTAGGGGCTAGCCCTTAGTCCCCCAGAAACCCGTGGGGCTTTCAGCACCAGCTTGGGACTGCTGAGACATTCAGCCTCGTGGACTGAGCAGCTACTAGGGTCTCAGTCTCTCAGATGTAAGATAGTCCTTGTTCGACTGCCCAGACTATATTACATAGCCAACCTAATGAATCCCCTTCTAAAATATACTTATTCTATCAGTTCTGCTCTTCTAGAGAGCCCTGATTAATATACTGTGTCTGGCTCATTTCCATTAATGTAATATCCTCCAGACTCATTGAGGGTGCCACAAATGATAGCATGTCATTCTTTGTATGATATAACATAGTATTCTAATATATATATGTCACAGTTTATCCATCTGTCATGGAACATTTAGATTGAGTTCATATTCTAGGTATTGTGAATACTGCCCCATGAGCATGGGCATGCAGATCTCATCAGTGTTCTGAGTCCAGGAGCTGGGAAGAGAGATCAGTTGGTTAGGTGCTCATACAAACATATAACACATTATATGAGAGACCCTGGCTCAAAAGGTAATGGCAGAGTGTATCAGAGGAAATACTGGACATAGACCTATTAACCTTTGGCCTCTGCACATACACTCCCATGCACATGTGCGTGTACCCCACTAACATGCACATATGCTACACACACACACACACACACACACACACACACACAATGAAAGTGCTGGGTGGTTTTGTTGTTGTTGTTTTGTTGTGTTGCTGCAAAGCATGACTGAGACACACTAACAAATCATGCATTCCCACTGGCTCTCGGTCTGCCGGAATAGTGAGGCCTGCAAACGGTTGGGCATGTAATAGACACTCTGAGGTTTTATGTATTTTAGGTACTGGACTCTCTGACCAAATTAAATGTCAAATTATCCCCCCCAAATGGGAAGTGAGCACTGAAGAAAGTGGGTTGTTGAGTTGCCATCACCCATAAAAACTGGGGGCAAATTCAGAGATGTTGTTCTCAATTTTGCTGGCAAATGTCAGAATGTAACTGTTGCCTATGGGTTAAGAAGGACAGCAGTTTTCTCTAAAAAATTACTGTGTGGGAGGTCCTGCCTGGTTTCTGTTTGGAAAGGTTAGTAGGAGGTTCTACAATATAGATGAATTAATGAATGGGGGGAAAGCCCTGTTTGGAGACCACCACCAAGAAAAGACTCAGCAGCCCCTCCCCCACCCTCATAAAGTCTTCACGGTGGGAGTGGCCAGGACATGGGTCCTGTGCTGGTGTGATTCTCTGTTAGGTCTGCCTCCCTCTTCTGCTTCTCCACTCACCCCATCCAGGAAGAGAACAGCAGCCTTGGAAAAATGAGGGGTGAAGCTAGGACTGGTCCTCCAGGGAGTAGGCAGGTGCTCCCGTCCTGGGGTGGGTAGGGAAGGGAAAGTACCTCCAAGAGAGTCTTTTAGATATGGAGGAGTCCTCGCACCCCGTTGCTGCCCTGGTGATGGTGGGATGTGAGAATCTGCTAACCAAAGGGTTCTACTTAGGAGGTAGACACTGCATTTGGCTGTTTGCCTCTCGAACCTCAGAGACTGGTCCCTGCATGCTTTAACAAGGACTCTTCTTGAGCCTTGGGGGTGCATTTTTGAAGAGGTTCTGGAGAACCAGAAGATGTCCTGTACACCTTATAGAAAATGCGTATTCGCATTCACATACCCCAGGGACCAGTACTTAGCTGTGACCTTTTGAGACGAAGACTCCATTTTAGTGAGGACTTTAGGTTACTTCGAAACGTCCTATAAGCTGCAGATAACTGGACGCACCAGGGTTTGAAGGCCATTCTGGCGGAGAAGCAGAGAAATCTGTAAAGAGGAAGGCATCTGGAGGCAGGTTTTTGAGTCCCTGCAACTAGATACCAGGAGTCATTGGGCTGAGGACAGAGCTGTCACTTACCTAGCAGCCACCCTCTGGTTCTCCAAGAGATTGGTGGAGCTCAGACCCATGAGATAGGGACTAGAGCTTCCATGATCAGGACAGAGCAAGAGCAAAATGTCCGGGAAGGAGGCCAGGAAAGGGGAGACCCCTCTCTCACCCAAGTCCCTAGGTCCCGAAGTACTCCACGTGGGGGGGGGCGTCTCACACACACACACATGCCCACAACCACATCGCAGGATCATCTCTGCATTCCTATGGGCGGCAGGCCTCCAAGGTCCACGTCGCCGCCACCTGCTGCTGTAACCCCAGCCATCGGGAATCTGCATCACCATTTTCCCTCCATTCAGCCTCACTCGGGAGCAGGTCCCTGATACTTGGGACCAGGCTGAGACCACGTCCTCCTGGCCCACTCCCCAGCAGCGACGTAGAGGTAGAGGGAGGAGCTCTGGCCGGCAAAACCAGCCTTCCCCTAACCCCTCCCCCACCGGAGCTCCCTTCCTATCTCCCCCCACCTCCCTGCTCTTGCCCTCCCCTCTGCCGCAACCCAGCTCCTAGCGCGTCAGCGTGGGCTTCCCGGAGCGAGTCGCTAGGTAACAGGGCTGGCTCCGCAGACCCGGGCCAGGGAAATCCGCGCGCGTCGTCAGCATTTGCACCGCGGGGCGGGGGATGCACGGATCCTCCCCAATCGTGGCCTGCAGACCCCGTAGGCTGGCTCGCTAAATGCCTTAAGAGCGCGGATCGCGGCTGTCTAGCTGCCCCTCCCCTAAGGGGACCCCGACGTCGCCGCCCCTTCTTCCTCCCCCGCTGGTGTGCACCACTCTCCTTGCGGCCAGGTGAGCAACCCTCCACTGCGGTTGCTGTGGCGGCGGGTAAGCTGCCATCTGGGGCCAGGGCGGGACTACGCCACCAGTGGGGCGGCTCGGACCATCACGGCCGGCCAGCCGGCCATGTGCTAAAGTTTCTGGGGTTCGGCTGGCCGGCGGGTGCACGGCGCGGGGCGCAGAGCGCGGTGGGTGGGGCGCGCGGTGCTGCCCGCCCCTGGCCCCGTGGGGCGCAGCTCAGTGCGCTCTCACGCTTTCTTCTTCTCCTTTCCCGGGCGCTGCTGCCCTCAGAGATCTTCCCTCCGAGCCCAGGCGCGGGGCATGAGGCGCCCCCGGGTATCGCCTGCAGACAACCCAGCCACGCACACCTCGCCAGCCGCCGACGGGGACATGAGCAGCACGATCGGGCTTCGCTGCTCGGCGGCCAGCCTCAGCGGCCAGCGGCCAGTGGGTCCTTGCTGCTTGGGAGAATGAAGCAGGAACCGGCGGCCACCTTTCTCTCTTCCTTCTCGCCTTCCTCTGGCTCCCGCGCCCCGGGCCCGGGCCGGGCTGTGGCTCTGCTGCGTGCCCTGCGCGCCCCCCACTTGCCTCCGGATGCTCTTCTCGGTAAGCCAGGCCCTTAGCCTCGGGAACAAAGCCCCTTCGGAAGGCTCTGAGGAAGCCTCCAAGCCCCCTCTGCAGCCACCAAGCCAGTGCATGGAATCTGTCCCCAAACCCTGAGTCTTAATTGCCTAGGTGCCTTCAAGACCCAGTGTTTCCCTGGGCTATCTGGGAGACAGGAGCGGGCTTGACAAGGCAAGCAAGAGACCTGTTTGGTCTAGATAAGCATCTATGTGTGAAACCTGGATTCGGACTTAGTCACTTGGGGACCATGATGTTTGGTGGATGTCCAGGCATTGCTGGGTGGTGTGTCTTCAAACCACTCCAAGGAAGTAGAGTACCATTTCTCAGTATTTCAGATATGGAAACTGAGGCCCAGAATGATTGAATGTGCTAATCAAGGTCACAAGATGGAAATCCAGGTGCTCACTACCTCATCAAACTGATCCTTTTGTCACAAACACGCCTGCCTCATTCCTCCACTAGCTGCTTCCGTCTCAAGAGCCACTGTGTGTGTGTGTGTGTGTGTGTGTGTGTGTGTGTGTATGTGTGTGTGTGAAAATACTCCTTCCAATGACGGTTGAGATGGAATAAATTGCTAGTAGAATGTATTTTCCATTCACTCCTCCATCCAATGCTGCCAATCCTGATGCGTGTGGTAACTGTGAAACCTCCTCCTCCTTCAGTTGGGGGTGCCGTGTTTGTGTGGGTGTGCGTGGGGGTGTCAATATGGTTTCCTTATGCTTTCTTCCCGGGCTCTGTTTTCCAGGGCTCTGGAAGGATGGAGAAGGGTTTCAGTTACTCCCATATGTCCCCTTCTGTGCTGTGTGCCCCATGCAAGTTCAGCCCCACAAGGTATCTCAGCCTGTCTCCTGGGCAAACCCATCAGCAGCACCTGGGCTGGTTCTACAAATTAGAGGTAGCTACTTCCCAGGAACTGGGGGCTGATTCTGCAGGGCCAGAAGGCAGAGGCCACCTGGGTCCTGACTCATAGTGGCCCTCGCTCTGTGCATCAGCAGAACTTCACACTTCTTAGCCCAGAGGGAGAGGGGATAGGCTTCGGTACACATGAGGCTCTCTGCATGCCCAGCTTCCCTGATGTGCAGCCAGTGACTCTTCTCCTAAGTGCATGTAGGTAACCCCAACCAAGGAGGCCATGGGGAATCTTTGGTCCTGTCGGAGCACTCGTTTGGGGGGTTGAGTATTTAAGTCACCTGTCAACACCATGTGGAAAGTGAAGGTGTTGGGCAGGGAACACCCTTTGCCCCGGGGGCTTCAGGGTCTGTATTAACAGAAGGATCAGGGCTGGGTTGGGTGATGTCTCAGATCCCTCCCAGGTCCAGTACTCTGAGTGTGAGAACTAGTGGGTCACAAGCCTGATCTAGGGTGTGGGAGGCCCACCAGCCACAGACTTATGGACTGAATAGATGGTTGGTTTCCAAGACAAGGACTCGGCGCCAAAAGAGCTATGAGACTCCGGTTCAGCCAAAAGAGGTGATGCCCCTGCTTAGTGGATTATTTATTGGGCAAAAACATAGTGGCTATAAAATGTCCCAAGGTGCCAGATTGGGGTTATGGGATAGGTTAGGCATTTCAATTCAAGGGATGACGTTGGCCCCTAAGAACTAATAAAATTCAGTGTATCATCTTGACACACAAGCCTTGTTGTCCCCTGAAAAGAATCAGCTACATTTGGTAAGCGAATTCCAGCCTGACCCATCAGTGTGGCTAACCACCATCAGTAGTAGCCTAGTCTCATACCTCTACTCTCCGCTGACAAATGGAAGCCACCGAGTGCATTCAGAGAGGCTGTGACAAGAAAGGTGGCCAGCAAGGGTGTCCAGACCCTCACTTAATTTTATCTTATTTGGGGCTGTTATTAGAGCTGAATGCATCAAGTTGACCTCTGGGCTGTTAATGGGTTTTCATCAGCCTTTTAAAGATGTAGATGAATGTGCCTTCTAAAGCAGTACGAATCCCAAATCAAGTGGACACATGCCATCTTTTCCCAGAAACTCGGCTCCCAGCAGGGTTTGGTGGCTATTTGAAATTCACAAAACCAGAAAGACGTCTTCCTTTCTTTTTGGCATGTCCGTGGGGTTTGTGATGGGAAAACAATGCTTCCTGGTGGCAGCATTAATCTCCCAGAATTGTGTATTTTAGGTCCTCGTGATTAATGGGTACAGTTTTGAATAAAAATGAATGGAGAGAAATGATCTTCATTAAGTTACTCCTGAAGATGACAACATAATTATGAAATAACAATTTTCGGATCATGTATCATACTGCTAGCACCCGAAACTGGATTACACAATACACCATTGATCCCCTTTCTGGTATTTAAATTTTAATTCATCGGTTCCCTCACATCTTTTGGGGCTTTTCCCTACCCACACATGCACAACGCCAGGAAAATGGACAATGCAGAATAGATTCTTCCTTTTCAGTTTTGCCTGGTTAAAACCCACTTTCCGTCTAGAAGATCTCAAAAGCTGAGCCCGTCCACACAGTACCCAGGCTGGCCTCTGGTTAAAATACGTTTGGGGTGCCTAGATTTCGTGGAAGGGCAGAAGGATATGTATGCTGCACAACTAAATAACGAGGTGAAGGCAATTCCCCTGTGGGCCCACCCCATCTAACTGGGAGTGAGGCTGTTGGCTTCTTTGCTGGTGGGGAGTGTTCAGCGCTGTGAGGTCTCTGAGGTGTTCCACTCTACACAGTGATCGTCACTGAAAATGGTTGTGTGGACAGACCATATCAAGGCATACAAAAAAGGGAGAGGCCGGGACACCAGCACTCATCCTCATGTTAGCGTAGCTTTGTAGCCTTGGGCAGTTTATCCCCACTCTCTGGGTCTGGGCTCAGCTGTGTGAGACGGGGCTTTGTGCTTGTATATAAATGTATATGGTTAGTAACAAATGATGCCCTTTGACTCTAAACTCGAAGAATCCTTAGAGTTTGGCTACAGCTGGTTATTAATAGATCCAGAATGCTGTGTGCGCTCAGGTTATGTAACGTGTTCAATTAGACATCCACATAAACAACGAAGACCCAGTCACTTTAAAAGACGCGTTTGGTAGCTTAGGTCAAGTCTCAGTGCCCCAGTACATGATGATGGGACTCCCATCCTGAAAGACATAAGCCAGTTTCCCTCCAGGGCTCCCTTGAATCTAGCTGAGAACATTGGGATGAGCCATGACCCTCTCTGGGATCCATGTGGCAGGAGACACAAGAAGGGTTATATAATTTGGGTCAGTGGGGTAGGAAGAACATGACGTCTTAGCTGCAGAGCTTCAAAGTCAAGGGACTTGGGGATTTTGTCTCGTTCTCAGGCTATTCCTGGAAGGCAAGGAGGGACGGCTGTAATTACTGCTTGCATTTGTTTTGAAAATGGAAAGTGCTTAATTAGAGCCCTGAACTCACTGGAAGGTTCAAAGTGGCAAGGCACAGTAGCTGGGTGTCTCTGGCAGCTTCCTCATGCATTCAGTCCTCCTGTGTCATGTAGGTGGGTAGCGTGTGGCCTGGGGGTCAAGGCTTCCCGTTGAAGTCATTTTCACATAGAGCGAGGGAAAGCAGCCACCAAACTGTAAACATCTTGTCACTTGCAGAGCAGTCATTGTCTACCTCGTGCGCTGGATGAGGAAGCTGCACTCAGAGCTCTGATAAGTCATCAAAACATACTGTGGTGTCAACATGCCACAGCCTGGCTCACAGTATACTGCGAGGGTTTGAACTGCCCCACGCCGTCTCTTCTGTCCTCCGGTGCTGCAGAATGTCTGCTAACCAAAGTGTGTCCTTCCTCCCAACTTTTAAAATAATACCACTGTGCTAAAAAAAAGCATGTGGGAGATTTGACGTGGAGACCATATGGAGTGATTCAGCTATTGATAGACTCCTGAATTGTACTTTTTTCTTTTTTTAAAAAAAAGGACATCGGATTTCTTTTAACCGCATAACATCAAATACACGTGTCCCAAAAGAGAGTCAGAACTAAGCCAGATGTGACCTGAAAAAGGTTGGTGTTAGCTGTTCTTTGGAAAGAGCTAAAATAACTCCACCAAGTTCCACATGCCCCTGGGGTTCTGTGGAAAGTAATAGGCAGGATGGCACCCCAGTCCCTTTAGAAGGCACTCCGAGCCCATACCTGCTGACAAGGGACACAGAATAAAAGTTATATAACAGAAACTTTCAAGGGTTGGTTTTTTTTCCTCCCCCACCCAGGGTGCCAGTGAGCTAAGCCTCTCAAACCCAAGCTTTCTAAGTTCATTCCTAGTGTTGCAGAAGCTCTGGACTTAGGGAATGCGGGCTTCAGGAGATGTCTAACATGGCCTTGGAGGCTCAGCCAGGCTGTGGTCCTGACGTTCTTTGCTGTCGGGTTTGCAGAACTTCAGATTAGCCCTCCCTAGGACTCAAGGATTCCAGTTCCCATCTGCAGCCCACAATCTATGGAGAATAAAGAGAGGCCAGTAGATTACACAGTAGCTGACTGCGTGGCTTTTATATTCCCAGAATGAAAACTACCCTGGTTTCTTTCTCCAGCAACTGAGCATCCAGTTCTGATGCCAACTTTGCCTATGTCTTCCTAGTGGTGTCTTAACAAGCAGACCCCCCTCCCCGCCGGCCCCCAACTTCCGCCTCCTTTGGACTGCCAAGCTGCTCTGGTGCCAACAGTCTTAAGTTTCATGATAGGTGATTCATGGGGATACATGGGGGAGCCAATGGAATGAGTTAGAAAACTTGTTGGTGATTCATCTGTGATCCGTGAAATACCAGCCGCCTCCTGGCGCTCAGCATGGAGTTTTTTATTTGTAAGTGAGGATTCCCAGCGCTTGTTCCGAGTGAGACCTAGAGAATCTAAACTTTGGGAGACCAGATGGGTGCCTGGTAGCCTCAGTGAGACTCCCAGGATGCGTGACTATTAAGAAATAGACAGATACAGAGGCACAGAGTGTGTGGATGCTGGGAATTTCCTGGGACCTGATGAGTTGATTTGATTTAACGTCCCC